AAAAAAAAATAACACCCAAAACTCCACGTGCAAGAAATCGCAGTGAGCAGTATATGTGAGAAATATGGTAAGAGCAGCTTCCACTAGTTCCCAGGTAGGCGTGAAAGCTGCATGGGCCTCACAGGGAGCAGAGCCAGGAGCAGTGCTTTCTCCTTCCTGCTACTGCTCCTCATCTCCTGCCTCCAGGAAAGGTCTGTTATGCTCCTCTCTGCCAGTCACAATGCAGGGGGACATTTTCTCCCTGGGTCTGTTGTAGGTGAGACAATCCTTCCCCTGTTCCACATCCCTCCCTGACTGTCTGGGCTAAGGGTGAGACCAGGACAACTGACACTTGCAGGCCTTTCACACCTGCAGGGCTGAGGATCTACATTATATTGGGCTGAACAAAATGAGTCGGCCCCACCAGCTGCCAAAGCTTTCTCTGCTGGAGCAACAAAGTCCAAGACAAGGGCAGCTGAGATTAAGGTCTGCTGGGATACGAAGTTTTCCCAGGGGCAAACCTGGGTCTGTGCCAGCAGACAAGCAACAGGACAGAGAGAAGTTTGGGGCAGAAAGACCCCCTGATACCTCAGCCCCATGAAGTACCACAGTGGGGAACACTCAGGTGCCCCCACCCCCTTGGGACTGGCACCTCCGAACCAAGGGTCACTGCCTTGAAGCAGAGGAGAGAAAATGCCCAGAGTCAAGTCAGGGACAGCTCTGCCTACCCACGGCCCCTGCTCTGCCCTGCCCCTTAGAGGAGGGACAAACAGTAGGATCCAGCCCCAGCCCCAGGAGGTGAGAAACCAGGAAGACCCTGCCAGACTCCACGGCAGTTTGTACTGATGTCTGAAAGGGAGGGGAGCCTGGAGACAGACCGACAGGCTGAGCATTTTGCCCCAACAACGACTTGGTTCCAGCACCCCAGCCGTGCCCCTCACCTTTCTTGTTCCTCAGGTAGACGAGGAGTCCCAGCGCCAGGAAGATCAGCCCCAGCACAAAGCCCCCGACCCCCGTCAGCATCTTGCTCCTGGCCGAGTCTGACTGCACCTCTGTGGAGACAGGAGCCGGAGGTGAAGGGCTCAGTCAGGGCTCCCACGCCCTGCTCACACCCCTGCCCTCTGTGGGAAAGGGGTCTGACCATGGACAGCCCTCGTGGGGCTGCACAAAGGGAGACGCGTCCCCTCCAAGATCTCAGGGGCTGCCCCAGGATCCCAGTTCCTTACCCCAGAGCACGGTGACGGGGCCCGGCAGGCTGCTGTGCTCCACCTGGCAGGTGTAGACGTCCCCGCTCCGGGGGGTCATTTCCAGCATCACCAGGATCTGGAAGGTCCAGTCTCCGTTCTGCATCAGCTCCGTGGACACCACTCCGGCAGTCTGCTCCTGCCCGTTCTTCAACCATTTCACCTCGATCCCGCCAGGATAAAACCCCGTCACGGAGCAAATCAGTGTGTCTGGGTGGGCCTGGGCCCCTGATTTTGTTGGGGAGACTTTCACCTTGGGCTTCACTGAGGGGGAAAGAGATGGAGAGAATGAGCTGGGAGAAATAATGATTCCTCAGTCAGGGAAAGTTTTCTCCCCCCAACCCCTGCCCACCTCAGTTTCTCTCACCCCTAAGCAATGAGTTTAGTTAAATCTTTACTTTGGTGCCACTATAAAACTGCTGTTTCCTCACATGCAGCACACATTCTTTTCCCCAAGAATAAATAGCTGGACTTTGCAATGTGAATTTGAACATGGTAAGAGCAGTTTCTGAGCAAATGAGAAAGTCAAATATGCAGGGACTCTCAAGAAGCGAAGCAAGTGGGAGCCTCCCTGCTACTACTTGCTTATTTATTTTAAGAAAATGTGTTTTTCTCCCCTGATGCATGTTGTTGCTGCTGCATGTTGCATTCAAGAAAATATGCTATTTTTTTTATCATTAAAGCTAAACTTGTATTGCAGTTTCTTTTTCTTAGTTGCAAATGACCTGAATCCAGGAGTGTCTTTCAAAGGCGCTGGATTCCCTTTTTCATTCAAGATGTCAGGGGGAGACCTCTCCATTTTGGAGGCCAAGCTCTATGGCTGCAGCATCACGTGTCCTGTCCTGGGTTAATGGCTTCCACCTGTGTACAGCCAGGGGCTTTGCTTGGGAGTGCCAGAGAGCGGCAAAGATATCCCAGGTTTGGGACCTAGCCCTGTCCCCAGGAGACCGCATCATATGTCTCATAAGCAGACATTAGGGTTTTCCATTTACTGCAGAAGAATGTGGATGTTCTCCTTTAAAGAGAAAAGGTGGCCGGGTAAAGGCGCAGCCCCACATGCGAGTCCCCCTGGTCTGTTATTCGTCACCCTGTTAATGGCACAGCCTTACTCCATGGTGGCAGGGCTGGTGCAGAGGTGTTGGCGGCAGCGGCATCAGTGAGTCTTGCCACCCTGCTCCACCCTCCTGTGCCAGGTCCCACCCGTTGGGCCACAAAGGCGGCTCCTGCCTGGTGGTCCGGTCAAGCTATAGCCTCATGCCCCACTGTGGACACACAAATCTGGGGAGGGGGCATGTCCCCCCATACCACCCCAACTCATCACCTATGCTGTTGCCTAAGGTTGGGCACCTCCCCTGCCCCATACAACCCCCTTCCCAATATACAGAGGGGCTGCAGCGAGGGGGAAGTGGATTGAAAGGGCGGGGCACCAGCAGGACTGAGGTGCGTGGGGGGTTGCCAGGAGAGAGGGAAACTGGCAGGGATGGGGGGGCTGTGGGTCAGGAGTGTGGGGCACCAGTGTGGATGAGGGACTGAGGTTCGAGAGCGAGGGGACTGGTGAAGATGGGGAGGTGCAGGTCAGGAGTGAGGGGCATTGGCAGGGCTAGTGGGCTGTGAGTCAGGATTGAGGGGCACTGGTGGGGATGGTGGGCTGTGGGTCAGGAGTGAGGGACATTTGTGAGGATGAAGGGTGCAGGTCAGGAATGAGGGGTACCAGCATGGCGGGGGGGGGCTACAGCTTGATAGTGAGGGGTACTGGCATATCAGGGCTGCTCAATAGCACAAAGCAGCGGCGGGGGGAGCAGCTGCCCCTGGACCCACATCGTGGTGAGTGAAGGAGGAGATGGGAAGCTCTGATTTTCCATGATCAATGACCAAAATCAAATGCCAAAATATAGAGGTATTTAGATGGTATTTTATTGTAATGACTGAGGCACTGACTGATTTCCAATTCGGTTTAAAACAGTAAATATCTCAATAAACCTTGTGTGCAGCTGACACCTCTATATACAGCAGAGTTTCATTTTAATCATGGAAAAATGTGGATTTGGGGTTTTTTAAGCAGAGAATTTGGGATTTTTAAACACAGGACACCAGGACCCCGGCTCATCTGGATGAGATTCCTGTTACACCCTAAATGCAGCCACTTGCCTCATGCCAAAAACAACAAGCTTGTCTTCTCGGAGATGAGCGAGACCCTTCTGGTTTTCTGCCCTGATAGAAATAGGACATTCCCCAGGATCTGGGCAGGGAAAGCTGTCTGGGGGCCAGGAAACCCCCAGCTGTGGTGCCCCCTCCCACACCGCAGGGACCTGCCCCCGCCCCAGGGAAAGGCTCCACGGGGCTGAGTCCCCTGGGCCCTGCCTGTGGCGCGAGTGCCCTGCCTGCACCCACCTGCAGGGCCTTGGGCAAAGCTCTTTGCAGGGACTGGTTTCTAGGGCAGGGAGCTCTGATCTCAGTCACTGGTGGATGCTGCGCAGCCGGCCCCGGGACCAGGGCCCACAGCCACTCCCCACCCCGTAGTTGTGTCGGCAGAACCTGTCCACTTCGCCCCGCCTGTACTCCACCGGACCTCGAAAGATCATCGAGTCCAACCCCCTGCCCTGGGCAGGAATACTGCTGACATCAAATGATCCCAGCAAAAGGTGTCTGTCCAGTCTGCTCTTGAAGACTTCCAAGGTTGGGCGCTGCACCACCTCCCTGGGCAGTCTAGTCCAGATTCTGGTCACCCTTACCATGAAGAAGTTCTTCCTTACATCCAACCTGAAACCATCCTCCCCCCACCTACCCCCCCACCAGGGATCTGCACTCCCACCTCCTTCTGTGCCCACCATGTTATTTCTTCCCCTTCCCCGTCACACCTGCCCCTTCCTCTGCCCGCGCCCCATGGCGCAGCTCTGCCCCTGCCCTGGCGGTGTGGCTGGAGGCAGGAGTCCCTGGGCACTAGCGGGGATGGACGTGGGGGCTCCCCTGCAGTTCCTGGTCCTCACCACCCCCCAGCAGTGTGGGGGCTATGACAGCCGCAGACCCCAGGGATGCACCAATCCTGGCCACTGAAAGAGTTGGGATCACGCGTGTCCTCGTCCCTCCCATCGCTCCTCCACCCATGTCCCCACCCCGTCTGTGTGGGCGCGGGCTGGGAGCACAGTGAGGAGCGGCGAGGGAAGTCTCGCCCCAGTGCCGGCCCTGCCCCCAACCTCTGTGGGGCCAGCAAGGACCCGATCCCGGGGGACTCACCGCTCCTGGCCACCGAATAAGGTGTGATCGCCTGGTAGTTGTGTCGGCAGAACGTGTCCACTGCGCCCCGGTTGTACTCCAGCACCTCCTTCTGGCTGTTCCAGTACTTGGCGTCAGGCTCCCCCAGCTCCGTGTCGGCCACGAACACGCCCAGGTTGCTGTCGAAGTGAGCGTAGTCCTGCTGGTTCCAGATGTATCTTACCAGAAGCCTCACGCGCTGGGTGCCGTTGGTGTAGAAACAGTCAAAATTGCCCTGGTAGATGAAATGCTCTGGGGGGGAGGGACAGAGGAGGCGGGTCAGGGTCTCCCCCACAGCAGACCCCCGGGGGGCAGAGTGCCCGGGCACTCACTGCTCTGGGACCGCACGGGGCGCCCTTCCCCCGGAGGCTGTCTGC